TCTCTATCATTTAAAATACAACTATGATAGAAATTATAGACCCTTCATTCCTTTGTAACTGGGCAAACCTACAAAATCTGCAGGGGATCAAACAATTATTTTCCCCACTGTACAATAAAATAAGTTGTGAAATATACTTATAGAGAAGGCCCGGCATGCACTGCTCAGTTTCCTCTAGCAATTTTCAGACAGTTTTAATAAAAGAAGACAGTTGTTTATAGCACCCATACTTTGGCCCAAATTTCCTGGCATAGATAATCTGGCACATTGTTACATAGTTACTGTATATAGTTACATAGTTAGTCTGGCTGAAAAAAAAGACAAAAGTCCATCCAGTTCAACCATCAATTGCACATAAGTGTTAAAATTTATTGTGGATTATATTTTATTTATTTATTATTTATTTCCTCAGATTGTACGCCCCTTGAGTCTTAGGGAAATGTCACGGATGGATTTATTGCACAGGAGGCCACCTATCACGGGACCATGCTTGGATTCACTGAGCTCCTGAGAGTGACCCATTCTTTCACAAATATTTGTAGAAGCAGTCTGCATGCCTAGGGCTTGATTGTATACACCTGTGGCCATGGAGGTTATTGGAACACCTAAATCTAATGATTTGGAGGGCGGGCCCAATACTTTTGGCAATATAGTGAAAGTACCTGTTATTTATTTATTTCGGGTACTTATATAGCGCCATCAATTTGCGCAGCACTTTACATATATATTGTACATTCACATCAGTCCCTAACCCTCAAGGGGCGTACAATCTAAGGTCCCTAACTCACATTCATACATACACATATTAGGGCCAATTCAGACAGGATCCAATTAACTTACCAGCATGTCTTTAGAGATTTATTAGATATCTGAATGTTTTCAGCATGTGAATATGATTAGCGCTCACTATTATGAGATGACAAGTCATAGACCATTGTTATCAATGGCACCTGTTCAGATCTATGCTACTTTAAGTCACAGCGACTTTGGAAAGCTTCCTGCACTACTTTGATGCAACTTGAGTGCCTGCAAGTGTAATGACGCATCAAAGTTGCACCGAAAATCATACGACTTTGGGGTTGCCTAGTGTGGACAGATTCTTACTTGAAACTGTTCCCCAATGTTATTTTGTGCAAATGTTCCTGTTAGCCACTTCACTTCCCCTTCAGTTCCTGTGTTCTGGCTGCCTTTGTATATAACTCAGCCTGTCCCTTGGTTCCAGAAATGTCTGCTGTCAGACCTGACCTTGCCTGTATTGTGCTGGCTACCAAAGATGGCCAAGACTGGCCAGACCATTCCCTGTATTTTCTCTACAGATTCTCATCCTCCATCCCAGTCTCTACTTTTTGTCTCTTTCTTACCTATTTGGAACTTTGACCTCATTATTTTCGCATTCGTGGTTGAACTTCTATGCTCCTATTAGGTTGTCTGCACTGTATCTGCCTTATTCAAAAAGGAATGCAAAAAGTTTTAAAGTGTTCCCAAAGAACCATTAAGGGCTCATTTACACTTGCTTTGACTGTAACACATATTAAAGCACCTACCACTTTAACCACTTTTTTGATGCTTCAGTGATGTTTTGGTGATGCTTTTTTGAAACTTTAATAAAGCTTGGTAAATGCCCTGTGTGTGTTGGTTTTCAATTTGTTTTAAAGAGGTTCAGTAGATCTCCAGCTCATTAGTACTCTCGTTCGGCAGATCCCCTGCACAGTAGTGCCCCCAGCTATGCTGATTCCCTGCTCAGTGGTAACCACCAGCTCTGCTGATCCTCTAGTTTGCGGATCCTCCTCTCTCTCTGGTCCCCAGTCACCTCTTGTTAAATTGCTACCACACTGCGCACCACATATGACATTGCTAGTTTCTCTTGCTCCGGTCCCCCAGGACTGCTTAACTCCCGCTCAGCAGTAACCCCCAGCTCTGCTGAGCCTCTGGTTTGTGACAGAGGCGTAGCTAGGATATTTCGCGCCCTGGGCTCCCAGCCCCCCTCCCCATTTAATCACATCAGTGACACCGATGAAGAGGCACTATTCCTCCCACTGACACCAATGACACTTACCTTGCTGACCCCTGCTCCAGCCTAGGCTCCTTCCCTCTCCCATCCACAGCCAGCATACCTGGTTTCAGCAGCACCATCTGCACGGCACACTTACCAGTCAGCTGTCTTCTTCACTTGCTCCGGCCGCTCCCTCACTCGATCTTCTCGCTGCCGCTCAGCTCCTCCTCTCCAAGCTCCGCCTCCTCTCAGGTGATTGGCCGCCAGTGTGCCTTTCCTGAGCTACAGTTCTGGCGCCCAATCACCGTGAGGAGGCGGAACTTGCAGAGGGAGGTACAAGCTGTCCAGTGATCCCGAGGGTGTGGCCAGATGACAGGGGTGGCATGTCATCCCGCCCACTCATCGCGTCCAGGGAAAAGAAGACACCGGACCTCTCTACCCCTCCTTCAGCAGCACCTCCTGGACTGGATCGTCGTGGGACTTGGACGCGGAGCCAGGTAAGACACAGCAGCCCGCTGCCTGCCCCTGTACTAAGTGTCCCTTCCGTTGGAAGGGGGAGCAGCGGCACCGCGCCGCCCCCCTAAAAAGTGCCACCCTAGGCACTGTACCTTGGCACCTGGGTACATATGTACCCCCCCCTCCCCCCCCCCCAGCTGGTTTGTGGATCCTCCTCTCTCTCTGGTCCCCACTCATCTCTCGTTAAATTGCTCCCACACTGTGCACCACATGTAACATTGCTAGTTTCTCTTGCTCCGGTCCCCCAGGTCTGCTTATCCCCCTGTTCAGTAGTAACCCCCAGCTCTGCTGATCCTCTGGTTTGTGGATCCTCCTCTCTCTCTCTTGTTCTTGCTCACCTCCCACTATATTGCTCCCACACTGTGCACCACGTGTGACATTGTTAGTTTCTCTTGCTCCGGTCCCCCAGGTCTGCTTAACTTCCGCTGAGTAGTAACCCCCAGCTCTTCTGGATCCTCCTCTCTCTCTGGTCCTTGCTCAACTCCCACTATATTACTTCTGCACTGTGCACCACCTGTGACATTGCTAGTTTCTCCAGCTCTGGTCCCCCAGCTCTGCTGATCCTCTGCCGCTCAGTCCTCCCTCTCCGGTCCCCATTCACCTCCTGCTATACCGTCCCCATGCTACACACCACATGTGCTGTCTGCTACTAGTATAATAGTATATTACTAGTATAAATAATAAGTATTAATAAATACATTTAAAAATCCAGTATATATACCATCGTTTGTAGATTTTAGAACTTTCACGCAAAGGCTACATTCACACTAGCCTTGTGTGCACGGCAGAGAGGCGTTTGGGAAGCGTTTTTAACAAATTCATTATAACGGGAGCGTTTGCACTTATTGGGATTTTTTGCCTTTTACCAAGACACGCGGTTGTTCGGTAAAAAAACTGCAATATATTAACGCTCGGCAAACGCCTAGAAACGCCGGATATAACGTTAAAAAACGCTAGATGCCAAAAAGTTGATCCAGTGGAATATATACACTTATTGGGATTTTTTTGCAAGACTCAAAAAAGGCCTGGATTGTTTCTTAGATACACAGGAAGGAATAACATTTATAGGTAAAGTTGATCCAGGGAATATCCGATTGCCTCTCAGGATTAGGAAGGAATTTTTCCCAGCAGGAGCAAATTGGATCGTGCTTTGCTGGGTTTTTTTTGCCTTTCTCTGGATCAACTGTGGGTGTAGGATTATAACTTTTTTTTTTTTTAGGTTGAACTGGATGGACTTTTGTCTTTTTTCCGCCAGACTAACTATGTAACTATATAGCAGAATACATTTTGGCCTAAATTTATGATGAAAATTGATTTTTCCATTTTAAAAATTTTCAGTCTTTCTTCGTTTATAAAATAAAAACTAAAAACCCAGTGGTGATCAAATACCATCAAAAGAAAGATCTATTTGTGTGAAAAAAAAAATGCTAGAAATTTAATTTGAGCACAGTGTTGCATGACCGCAGAATTTCCAATTAATGTAGCGTAGTACTGAATAGCAAAAAATGGCCTGTCATGAAGGGGGTAAAATCTTGCGGAGGTTAAGTGGTTAAAGTAAGATAGATGGGTGTGTATATATCACAGCCACAAAAGAACCATAAAATATGTCCAGCAGGCTAACACACACAATTTGTGCCTTTTAGATTTTATGATACCAGGCATCCTCCTTATCAGATTACAATCAAGCTGTATACATTAGCACGTAGGTTCTGAGAAGTGACAACATCAAGTGTCAGGTTGTATGAACAGACAGCTTGTAATGTGCGGTGTCCTCACAGTTGTCAGATGATGAGTGATGTGGTGGGTCCAGTGCCAAGTTCTTCTAGCAGCTGGCGTTCTGTCCATCCTTTAAAGTGACACTAAACTCTGGTTTAAAAAAAAAACTCTATCTAAGTACGCATTCTTAAGTCCCTTCCCAGGGGTGTCCCTAGGGTTGGTGTCACCCGGTGCGATAACACTTGGTGACACCCCCTCCGATGATCCCTGCTGAATGGATCGAATCTGCGGATTGAGCATAATGGATCGAACTCTGATCCATTATGCTCAATCCACAGATCTGATCCATCCTGCGGGGATCTCGGCTTGCTTTACAACTTACCTTTTCATGGAGCAGGTCCGTTGTCACCCTGAGTGCACCCCCCGCACCTGCCTAGGGACGCCACTGTTCCTTCCATTGCTCTCAGCCTCCTCCAAATCTCCAAATTCCTTTTTTTTTTTTTTTTGCTGCTGTGATCTGACTTTCTTTTAGACCAGGGGTGTCCAACCTTTTGACCTCCCTGAAGAGTAGTTGTCTCGGGTCACACATAAAAAACGACAGGGAGAGCTGATGATCAGATCCTCCTGCGGCTCTCATCGGGTAGGTGCAGCCGCCGCGCACGTTTAATATAATGACGGTTGGCTGACAGCTGCACCTATTCGTGGCACTCTGCACAGCCAGTGATTACTTGCGGTGATCGCTGCTGAATGCAGACAAAGTGCGTCCAGCCAGGGGCGGACTGACAACTCATGGGGCCCCCGGGCAATAGGGGATCATGAGGCCCCTGTGTCCTCCTGCAGTACTCAGTGGTAAGTGCTGCTGCCAGCCTCATTCACTTTAATGGTGTATTTATTGGTGTATTTATATTTCGTGCTGCCCTAGGCAACACAAAAATTGGCTTCCCCCTACGGAGAGAGAGACACCTCCCTACCCCACGAAGAGAGCCTGACATTGACCACCAACACCCCAGCCCCCTACCCGAGAGAACCTTCCACTACCGCCGCCCCCCCATACTCTGGCAACCCCCCAACCCGGGAAGAGAGAAGACACTCACCTTCACAGCTCCAGAAATTCCCGGGAACAAGAGTCAGGCTCTGCATACACCATCAAGCAGCCCACAGCCTCTCTCAGATCCCACCTGGTCCCCATGCTGTGTGTGTCCCTTCTTCCATCCCTTCTTTTGGGGGGCAGCACTGCTCCCCTGAAAAATGCCACCCTAGGCAAGTGCCTTGTTTGCCTTGTGGTAAATACACCCCTGCTCTCTGCACAGCCAGTGATTACCTGTGGTGATCACTGCTGGACGCAGGGGCAGACTGACCATTTGGAAACTCGGGCACTGCCCAAGGGCTCGGGGTCAGTAGGGGGCCCCATGAGATGCCCCTGGTACCTTTTTCATAGGCTTTTTTGAGTTTGGGCAAGGACACAGGGGCCCCATGATCCCCTATTGCCCGGGGGCTCCATGAGTTGTCAGTCCGCCCCTGGTATGGGGAATGAAGTGCTGAATAAGATGGAATGTGGAGGTATGTGCCCTGGAAAGATTGTGGTCTATGTGATATTGTGCCTGGACCTTATTTGGCTGTTTGAGACCCCTCATAACCTAGGGGTCTATCTGAGAGGGTGTGCGCATATTCATAAGTGTGGGTTCAGAACTTTGGTTAGTGGTCACAGAGTTTGCATGATTATGGACAATTGAAGATTTTGTTTGATGCACCAGTTATCTGGAGCTTTTTTCATCACTTTAAGAGCACACTGAAGATCACAAGTTTTGAAAGATTGAACTTCATTATATATAAGTTTTATATATGCATGCCACTTCATGCACAGATGTTTAAGCACATGAACTTGCAAAAAGTAATGCATGAATTACAGTGGGGATCGAAAGTTTGGGCACCCCAGCTAAAAATTTGTATTAATGTGCATAAAGAAGCCAAGGAAAGATGGAAAAATCTCCAAAAGGCTTCAAATTACAGATTAGACATTCTTATAATATGTCAACAAAAGTTAGATTTTATTTCCATCATTTACACTTTCAAAATAACAGAAAACAAAAAAAATGGCGTCTGCAAAAGTTTGGGCACCCTGCAGAATTTATAGCATGCACTGCCCCCTTTGCCAAGCTGAGACCTGCCAGTGTCATGGATTGTTCTCAATCATCGTCTGGGAAGACCAGGTGATGTCAATCTCAAAGGTTTTAAATGCCCAGACTCATCTGACCTTGCCCCAACAATCAGCACCATGGGTTCTTCTAAGGTTGTCTAGAAAACTGAAACTGAAAATAGTTGACACTCACAAAGCTGGAGAAGGCTATAAGAAGATAGCAAAGCGTTTTCAGATGTCAATATCCTCTGTTCGGAATGTAATTAAGAAATGGCAGTCATCAGGAACAGTGGAAGTTAAAGCAAGATCTGAAGACCAAGAAAAAATATCAGACAGAACAGCTCGCAGGATTGTGAGAAAAACAATTCAAAACCCACGTTTGACTGCACGATCCCTCCAGAAAGATCTGGCAGACACTGGAGTTGTGGTACACTATTCCACTATAAAGAGATACTTGTACAAATATGGTCTTCATGGAAGAGTCATCAGAAGAAAACCTCTTCTACGTCCTCACCACAAAAATCATTGTTGGAACTTTGCAAATGAACATATAGACAAGCCTAATGCATTTTGGAAACAAGTTCTGTGGACCGATGAGGTTAAAATTGAACTTTTTGGCCGGAATGAGCAAAGGTACGTTTGGAGAAGAAGGGGCACAGAATTTAATGAAAAGAACCTCTGTCCAACTGTTAAGCATGGGGTTGGATCAATCATGCTTTGGGGTTGTGTTGCAGCCAATGGCACATGGAACATCTCACGAGTAGAAGGAAAATGGATTCAATAAAATTTCAGCAAATTTTGGATGGTACCTTGATGCCATCTGTGAAAAAGCTGAAGTTAAAGAGAGGATGGCTTCTACAAATGGATAATGATCCTAAACACACCTCGAAATCCACGGGGGATTACATGAAGAGGCGTAAACTGAAGGTTTTGCCATGGCCTTCACAATCTCCTGACCTCAACATAATTGAAAATCTATGGATAGACCTTAAAAGAGCAGTGCGTGACAGACAGCCCAGAAATCTCAAAGAACTGGAAGACTTTTGTAAGGAAGAATGGGCAAAGATACCTCAAACAAGAATTGAAAGACTCTTGGCTGGCTACAAAAAGCGTTTACAAGCTGTGATACTTGCCAAAGGGGGCAGTACAAGATATTAACTCTGCAGGGTGCCCAAACTTTTGCAGACGCCATTTTTTTGTTTTCTGTTATTTTGAAAGTGTAAATGATGGAAATAAAATCTAACTTTTGTTGACATATTATAAGAATGTCTAATCTGTAATTTGATGCCTTTTGGAGATTTTTCCAATCTTTCCTTGGCTTCTTTATGCACATTAATACAAATTTTTAGCTGGGGTGTCCAAACTTTCCATCCCCACTGTACTTTTAAAATTGGTGCGACTTGACCTCCAACTATCAAATTGCATGACAAGTCGCACCAGTGTGACCAGGGACTTATTGTTCCAGCACGCTATGAATTTTATGTATATGTATCTTCTTGTGTTTGTATTTATTCACTTATTAATTAGATAGTTATTGCTCTGGTTGGCAGATACTAAGGAACACAAGAAGTGCAAGAAGCGAACAAGTGCAGCTGGAAGCGGTGGATAAGAAATGCAGAGGTGAACTGTGGAAAAGGAGTGCAGAGGGGAGCAGTTGACAAAAAGTGCAGAGGTGGATGGTGGAAAAGGAGTGCAGAGGGAAATGGTGGACAAAAAGTGCAGAGGTGAATGGTGGAAAAGGAGTGCAGAGGGAAATGGTGGACAAAAAGTGCAGAGTTGAATGGTGGAAAAGGAGTTCAGAGGGAAATGGTGGACAAAAAGTGCAGAGGTGAATGGTGGACAAGTGCAGATGTGAATGGTGGACAAGTGCAGAGGTGAATGGTGGACAAGAAGTTCAGGAATGGTGGACAAGAAGTGCAGCGGTGACCAGGGGACAACAAGTGGTTAGGTAAGTGAGGGACAATAAGTGGAGAGGTGAATGTGTATAAGAAGTACAGAGATAAGTGATGGAGCAGAAGTGGAGAGGTGAATGATGGACAAGAAGTGGAGAAGTGAATAGTGGTCAAAAAAGTGGAGAGGAGAGCTGTGAACAAGAAGTACAGAGGAGTGCAGTGAACAAAATGTGCAGAGGTGAGAGGTGGTCAAGAAGTGGAAAGGTAAACTGTGCATAAACAGATTGCAAAATAGCTAGTTAGGTGCTGCCCTGGATGGTAGGGTAAGGGTTCCTTCCTGGTTCTTTAGTTTTGGCAGGTTATCTCAAGGTCTGACTCACTGAGCCTGTAATATAAAAGAGGCACAATAACCCAGAAGAAGGGTTCCCCTAGACCCTGAGAGCCCTGGGATTGTGGAAAGAGGTCCTGCAGCTAAACATCATGGAGCTGTCATGAAGTAGGAGGTCATCGGGACCTGTGGTTCTCCTGGAAGATGCCAGCTAAAGGGGAATGCCACTAATAGACCTTTATTCTCATGGACTCTTCATTTGCAGGTATGCCAGGGCAGCACTTCAGCCTGAGATAGGATTAGGGTTAGGTACTTAGGAAAAATACTGTTATTATCTGGGTCACTAATATATTGGTGTATGAAGAGTCAGCACATTTACAGTTACACTGTTCAACAGGTAAAAAGTTTTGGGCATAAAATTAGCTAATCTTACATAATTTTGGGGTGCTGAAAACGAAAATAACCCTAAAAAATGTTGATTGGCTCTAGTTTCCATGATATATTCACCCATCTAATGACGTAAGCCATTCAAAATTATGATGCAACTTCAGCTGCATATTGCGCAATTGATACTGGTGACCAATAGAAGAAAATTGCATGTATACTGAGATGATGCAATATTAGCCTTTAATTGCATCACTTCACTGCATAAAAGCTGCAGTATCTGTAGCTGATTGTAGTTCGACAGCGTCTTTACATTTCGTTTTATGCTATATATAGGCTACTCAGTAATGCCTCGAACTTGTGTGAATAAAGCAGATCATTTCTGCTATATCTGCGGTGAAATAACTTTTATCTCACAAAAAAGGAGGATAACAGGGAATGATTAAGAAAGCCTACAACTTGTATTTTGGCTGCAAGATAGGAGACCAGGACAAGAGCTGGGCACCACATATATGCTGCAATTCTTGTGGGACGGCACTGGAGCAATGGGTTGAATGGAAAAAAGGCATCTATGCCTTTCACTGTGCCATTGATTTGGAGAGAGCCAACAGATCATGTTAGTAATTGTTACTTTTGTATGGTGCCTCCAATTGTAAAAGGGCTAAATAAGAAGAAAAAAGTTATCTGTGCACTATCCAAATATTCCATCGGCAATACGTCCAGTTCCTCATGGAGAGGGGCTACCAATTCCTAAAGCACCAGAATCCTTCGTGGTTGAGTCAAGTGAGGAAGAACCTGAAGCGTGTAGTCACGTGCAGTTGTAAGAGATAGCCCTTTCCTCGAATACAAGAGAAAAGCCAAGAGAAGCAAAACCGACATAAACTGAAGACAAAACTAGTGAGAATCCTAAGTATTAAAATGATTCAACTTAGCTTATGGCTATAATTTTTCTTGGTAATCCTATGCAATATATTATGCCATTTAGGCTTTGTTATGTAGTCAATATCACTTGCTTTATATTTGTGGAAAGACATCTATCTATATAATTATTGTGCATTATGTAGTCATTACGCCTATAGTAGAAAACTTTCCGTTTTCAGAAAAACTAGAGCAAATTGACAAATTTCATTGTTATATTTGAACTCAGAATGTGAAATTCATTAAGAAATGGATCCTTTTGTTTCCAAAACTGGCAAAAAATAAAAATTTTGTATACAGTTGAACAGTGTTATCTGCCAGTGCAAGTTCTACAAGTAGTTACCAACATGGCCGGATCGAGGGGGGTGCTGGGGTGGGCTGCGCCCCCCCAGATTTCAGTTGTACCTCCCCAGACTGCTGAGCTCCTTCCCCCCCATCCCCACACTCAGAGCCAGGACAAGGGAAAGGGAGCCTGGAGCAGTTAAGTCCAGAAAATGACAAAGAAGAGAGAGCCAAGAGAGCTGTGATGTGGTCTGCCCCCTCCTTCTGTCAGAACAGCACTGCTCCATGTAGCTGATGACACAGGATCGCTCCGTCCATCGGACTGTACATAATTTCATTAACTGCCCCTATCTCCTGCAAGGAGGAGGGGATTAGCAGGGGGATTTGTGTTAGATGGGGGGATTTGTGCTACAAAGGGGGATTGGGGAGGTTTGTACTAGGATTAAGGGGGATTAGTGGGGGGGGGGGGGTTTGTGCCAGAAGGGGGATTTGTGCTAGGAGGTGGTGAAAGAATTTGGGTTAAGAGAGAGGATGGGGGGTATTTGCGCTAGGAGGGGGGGGGGGGGGGATTTATGATTTTTAAGGCGAAAGTGGATGTGTGCATGGAGGAGTGATAATTTTTTTTTGGGTGAGTGAGATTTGTGCTAGGCGGGGGATTTGGAGGTCCACCTTACAGTTGAGTATTCCCCTACG